TTCCTCAAGAGGTATCAATAAAAATTTATTATTTTCTTTAAGTTCTTCTTATGTTCCAATACTGGCAATTTATCGCCTTATACTAGTGGAACAGCCTCCTTTAAGGGTATAGGGACTGATATTTGGGAGGACCATTTGGAAATCCCTCTTCAGTCTCTTTTTCTTTTTTGTATATTTTGACACTGTTGATCATCAACAGCTTCTTCTCATCCTCCGCAATATCGGTTTACAAGATACTGCTCTCTCCTGGTGCTCCTCCTACTTCTCCCAGTGCTCTTTCAGTGTTTCTTTCTCTGGCTCTGCTTCTTCTCCCCAACTCCTCTCTGTTGGTGTCCCCCAAGGTTCAGTCCTTGGTCCCCTGCTGTTCTCCATCTATACTGCCTCCCTTGGTAAACTCATTAGCTCCTTTGGCTTCCAATATCATTGACACGCAAATCTACCTGTCCTCTCCTGATCTCTCCCCGTCCCTCTTGACTAGTGTCTCTGACTGCCTCTCTGCTGTTTCTAACTGGATGGCTGCCCACTTCCTTAAACTAAACTTGACCAAAACTGAAATTCTGGTCTTTCCTCCCTCAAGTGTTGTTACTCCTGTGTCTGTCTCCCTCCAAGTCATCAGTGCTACCATCAGCTCCACCATGCAGGCTTGCTGCCTAGGTGTTCTCTTTGACTCCGACCTCTCATTCAAGCCTCATGTTCAATCTATCGCCAAATCCTGTCATTTCCATCTCAAAAACATTGCGCGCATCCGCCCCTGATTTGGATCAAAGAAAACTTTGATAATTTGTCTATCTACACCTTCCAAATTGATTGATTAATGCATGCACGCTTTCCCTAGAAGTAATTCACACCGGAGACAAAGTTTCTGATCAGTGAAAAACCAAGGAATGCTTTATTCCCCGGAGTGGGGGCTCCTTCTTAAAGCAAAAATACGTCACAGTTTAAACATACAGTATACATTCAACAATTGGTTAACAGTCTAAGGGGTCTTGTCTAAACCCCTCCTACAGGATGTAGTGTCGTCATTACAGACTTCTCCCACCTATATTGGATACACGATGGGAGGGGGAGTGAGTAGTTTCTTTCAGTTACTTTAACAGTGATTCTCCATTTTGTTACACGTGGCATATAGCTGTTAACTGGCACAAAGGAAGTGGGGGAGGAGTTAGTAAAGGAAGCTGTTAACACAGGAATTTTTTGGTTACACGAGGCCTGCTCTGATGGGAAGGGGGATGCTAGCAGGATGCGAGGAATTTACAGAGAGAAAATAGTGCCTGAACACATTGTAGGGGGGGAGGGAATATTTACTCTAGCAGCCAGTTTTAACATAGTGAACACAGAATAAATAGACATTAGTAAATAGCCATTTTATTTTAATTCATCTGTCCATAACAGTCCCCCCTTAAAATGGCAATTTTACTAGAAACTACTATCTCTCACTCTAATACTGTCCCTATAGAAAAATAACAAAAAGGCTATCTTGCACATCTGTCTGAACAGGCCTCGAACACTTCACTGGGCAGGTAAACCGTAGCAGCTTGTCCACTACTTCTTCCCGCGACAGACTTCTGCCCGTAGAGATGGACGCTATCCCTGAATGTCCTTAAGAGGAAGTAGCTGTTGATTTAGTGCGGTGGGACTGTAAGGGTGTATGTGGTGGATCACGGTCTATGTTGTCAATCTCTTGGTGAAGGAAGGTCGGGGTGGTCTGGTCGATTGTCTGATCAACTGTCTTTTGTAGGCATTTCTTAAGACAAGGTAACACACAACAAACAAGAAGAGCGAGGATGATTATTGTTATTAAAATGGCAACACCTATTTGGGCCAGAGCACCTTGCCATCCAGTCATCCATCCAAACCATCTTTCCCATGGATCTGCGGCCCCAGAATTTCGTTTCAGCTCGTTGGACAAACTCTTTAACTTTTCTATTGCCAATGTTACCTTACCATTAGGGCCTGTATTATCTGGAATATAGGTACAGCATGTTATGGTGTCTGGGAGTATTTTACATACTCTCCCTTTTCCTGCCAAAATCATTTCCAAGCTTATTCTATTCTGGAAGGTCATCTGAGAGGTTTGTAACCGTATCCCACCATATATCCCATAACAAGTATAGTTCCCTGGATATATAGTAATGCCTTCGTCTGGGTTAATATTTTTAGTAATGACTGGGTATTAAGTTTCCATGACTCGCATGCTGACCGCTTAGGTTTAAATACAGTGTAGAGACTTAAAACGCATACTTCATATCCGGAGGAAGGTTCAGGTATACAGTACCTGGGTGAGGCCTCACTCCTCCGCAGACATAGCATTTAGACTTGTTATGTTTAGTAGCATTGTATTTCATCCATTCAAGTCACAAGTTAGTGTCAGAGAAACCTGTCTCTACAGCCCTAGTATCCTCAAATATGGGATGACTACCATGTCTTTTAAAGTCCTAATGTGTGGTTTGAGGGGATTAACAGTCATGTGCGTGGCACCTACCCATTCAGCTGAGTCATACATATCCTGTAAGAAAAAGGTCTTACCTTAAAATCATTTGGTACCCCCCTTGACACCCCTATGCCATTAATATATATATATATATATATATATATATGTGGGGGTAAAACCACCGTTTATAGGGGTACTCCTTTTTGTCCTGAAGCATGAATGAGGTGTGTCAAGAGTACCTTGGGGATTGTCATGTGTTATGTGTATGGACATAATAACCTTGGCTAGGGCACATTTACTTATTCTTAATCTTAGAAATCTTGTCTCATGTTACCCTAGTACTGGCAGATTCAGATCATTTAAACATTCAATATTAATATCACCACAAACTCAAAATAAGCAGATGATCCTGAAGAAGCTTTGACTGTGCGTATGGCACCTCAGACGTGAGGGCTGCAGGGTAAGGAGTATGTCTGTTTCTCTTTAGTTTTACGAGGTCCCCTTTTGGGGTATTTGGCTTTCCATCGATGGCAGGTGGTCAGGCATTATTATGGCCATCAAAACACCCACTTGTTGATATTTATTTATTTATTTTTTCAACAAGTATCTTTGTTCTCTAAGAATGGAGTTTCAAAAAGGGTTGTCAAGATCAACAAATGCTACTTCACATGATGCAGAGGCAGGCTTGATTCTGGAATGATGAATCCACGGGGTGATCTCTGTAACTTTCACGGTGCACTACTCAGCATGTGGTCTTGGTTATCACTTTGGTGGCTGGATAGGCCTCTGGCCATCCTGAAAACATGTCTGCTATAATTAGTGCATATTTGAATCAGCCACTCTTTGGCATTCTGGATGTAGTCGACTTGACTCCTCTGGAAGAGATAATGAGGTTTGGCTAGATGCTTGGGGCTTTCCTCCATTCTTCCTGAGTTGCCCTTGGCACAAATGGCACAAGATCTACAGTAAATGTTGCTCAGAGAGGCAATTCCTGGTACTTCAGAGTATTTATTGATCAAAAGAGTTCATGAGGGTTCTGGACAGATATGATGCTCTGTAGGCCCACTGGACCACTGCTGAGTATATGTTCTTGGGCAAGCAGAACTTGAAATTATTGGGGTACTGCCCGTCTGCAAGGGTTGCCCTTTTCTGTTTCCAGCTTGTGTTTCTTCAGGGTCAGTAGCTGCTTGTTATTCCTTCGGGAGCTTGAGGTCTGTGGGTAGGATCTTACATGGTAAATATGGGAGTTTCTTCAGCAGACACTTTTCTGTCCACTTCCCTTAGTGCACTTACAACTTCTTGGACAACTTGGTCAGCCAGAGAGTTGCCACATGCTTCTTCTGAGTTCAGTCTTCCTTCAGAGATCTTGCATGATGTGATGGGAGCCTATAGCTCAGCTTTTTGTGCAGGCATTGTTGAGGTGAGATACTTGGTCCACTGTAGTGACAGCAAATCCGGAACAGATCATGAGGAAAAGGCTACAAAAATAATAGTCAGTGTCTTATCATTTCCCCCCCTGGGAAGTGGCAGAAGAGTGGCCAGGTAATAGAGTATCATCTCTGCAGGGTGGCACTATCCTGCACAGAATTCGTCCATCACAAGGAGAAGTGGGATATTGCAGGGAGAGTCTCAGGGAACCAGGGCACCATTCGACACCAGAGCCTTAACCTGTTAGGGAATAGTAAGAGCTTGGACAGGCTTCGGGGCCTGTATAATTCAGGTAAAGGTATTGGGGGAACTAGCTAGGACCCTTGCCTCTTGGTCAGGTTTCACTGTGTGGAACAAAATAAATAATAAGGTGATAGGGGCCTGCAAGTGGGGGAAGGACATCTGCACCTAGCAGATTAATTGGACAGGTGTAGGCAACCACAAAGCAAGGTTTAGTTAACAGGCTA